ACAGAAAACCTTCGTTAGAAACTAAGGAAAAAGTACTGAACTGTAACGTAATATCTATTCTACTGTATGACAGTAAATGCTGGATAATTTCCTCACAGATGAAGAACGGACTTGAAGCAAGAAAAATCTGGTTCTACAGAACGATGCTGAGGGTACCATGGACTAAAAATCTGGGCAACGAAGAGATTTTTAGGGAAGATGAAAACAAAAAGGAAACTTAAAATAAGGAAGAAACAGTTGAAATTTCTAGGGTGCCTAATGAGGAAGCAGGATTTGGAAAATCTAATACTCATAGGACAAATTGAGGATTCTATATTCGAAGACGACCGTCATGAACATATAACAAACAGTGCCAGAGAGTGTTATTTTAGTGTCAATAGTGTTAGTGAGTGTTATTTTAGTGTCAACAGTGCCAGAGAGTGTTATTTTAGTGTCAATAGTGTTAGTGAGTGTTACTTTAGTGTTAATATTAAGCTCGTTTTTTTTTCATCCTATTTTAGTAAAGCTGTGTCCCGGAGAGACAGGCTCCTAGGGATAAAGACTGTAGTCTAATATCATTTTTTTCTGCTTTATGCTGTGTATTTTTGATGGTCGTAGAATGCAAAAATATAGCACGAGCAACAAATTGAAAGAAAAATAGGATGAAAAAAAAAAAACGAGCTTAATATTAACACTAAAGTAACACTCATGGATTTTTTTGCCGTAGAAGCATGAAAAAATAGATTATTTCCACTATCGATGGGAGTTGGGAAATGCAAAGTCGGTCTTGGCTTTCTCGCTAACTTGGAGCATGTACATGTAAATTTTGGTGCAAATCCGTCGAAAATTGCGGCCGTGCATTCGTTACACACACACACACACACACACACACACACACACACACACACACACACACACACACACCCTGCCTTTTATAGATAGAGATAATTTTAAAATAGCTCCAATTAACTATTAGGTTGCGTCATAACTGATTTCCGTTTTTGTTTCTCATCTTTACTCTTCAAAAAATAAAATGCAAAGACAATTTTTCTCGTCAGAATTCATCTTGTACATTTACAAGTCTACCATTCGGTCATGCAATGAATATTGTTGCCAAATCTAGTCTTGTATTCTTACTCTATATCTCCAGATTTTAGGCAAAATCCGAAGGCGGCTCTGTAATGTAATCGATCCTGACCTAGTATCTCGACTTCAGTCAATTTCTCACCGTCACGTGGCTTCCTCTTGCCTTTTCGATTCTACAAATATTTTCATTGTTCTGATGAGCTTTCCTCCTTGGTGCCGCCTCGACTGGATGAATTTACTGCTAGATTGGCAACTAGGTCTCATCGTTTTACTGTTGAACTTACTAAATGCAGCCGAAGGTTCAATTTTAATTTTCTTGTTTCTTTTCTCGCACTTCTCACCTGTGAAACTCTATTCCGGTTTCTTGATTTCCCTACAACCTACAAACTTAAAAAAATTCAAATGCAACTCCAATCGCTATCTTCTTTCTTCCCGAAGTCTGTTCTTTTATTGTCCTTTCTTCTCGCTAAAGTTTTCTCATTCTCTTCCACTTCGAGTAATTCCTTTGCATCTTAGTGGCATTTTCGCTTTGCTTGGGGTGAAACGATTTGAAAAAAAATAATCGACAACAAAAATTAAATTTTATCCATTTATATAATCACCATTATTTGCTGTCGCTTATCGGGTAGCAGGTTCTGATTCGAAAAAAAGTATTCGACGAACTCTTGACTCTAGTTTTCATTAGAGAAAGTTTCCGCGTGAAAGCGTTTTGCAGCGATCTAAAAAGGTAATGGCCGGTTGATACAAGGTCATTTAATATAGCGGGTCAGGTTGAACAGACCAACCGAGTTCCGAAACGCTTTCTTGTGTTATCCTTGCTGCATGAGGCCTTACATTGTCATGGGCGGGAACAACATTTTTCTTTTAATGCATAGTGTACCCTGCCACTACCGTGCAAAATCTAAAGTATAATAATGTACACCAAATCTATTCTTAATTGCTACAGTTGATGAGTAGTTAGGAGGATATATTCGCTATTATAATTGGTTCCCCAAAAAAACGGTAATTACTTATGACTTGACTTGGTATTTATAATATTCCTAATAATCCTGCCGACCTTTAATTTCTTGAAAGTAATACTAGTATACTAACGTATAGTGCGGGTCAAATGTAGTTTGTCTTGTATCGTGATATTCCGGCTTTGCGGAAGTTCATATCAGAAACTGTATATTGTATTTAAGCAGGCAAAAGATTGAACTTGGTGAGGAGAGTCGCTGTAGCGCAAAATGGTGCACATTGGGGAATGCATCTGGAATTTTCAGACAAAACAACGCATATTCATTTCTAAAGCGTCTATTCTATTTATGTAAAGATCGAAATAAAACCTGCATCAGATTATATTGCCTTCAATTCTTGTCTCGTTTTCTCGTTCTTTAGTTGCTTGCGTGTTTTGTATACATGAAAAAGAAACTTTCCATTCTTTTGTTCTCCCCCCTTTTTAAAAGCTTTCTTCCATTCTTTATTTATTTCTTCTTTTCTTCCATCATTTCTTTCTTCTTTCTTTCCAGTTTTTTTTACAGGCGTTTTATTTCTTAACTAGTTCTTTCTTTCTTTCTTTCTTTCTTTCTTTCTTCTTCTTTTTTCTTTTCTCTCCTTTTATTCCCAATTCTTTCTTTTCTTTCTTATCTTCTCTCTTCGATTCTTTCTTTCTTTCTTTCTTTCTTTCTTTCTTTCTTTCTTTCTTTCTTTCTTTCTTTCTTTTCTCTCCTTTTATTCCCAATTCTTTCTTTTCTTTCTTATCTTCTCTCTTCGATTCTTTCTTTCTTTCTTTCTTTCTTTCTTTCTTTCTTTCTTTCTTTCTTTCTTTCTTTCTTTCTTTCTTTCTTCTTCTTTTTTCTTTTCTCTCCTTTTATTCCCAATTCTTTCTTTTCTTTCTTATCTTCTCTCTTCGATTCTTTCTTTCTTTCTTTCTTTCTTTCTTTCTTTCTTTCTTTCTTTCTTTCTTTCTTTCTTATTCTCCTTTTTTGCCCTTTTCCTCTCGTATCCCTTATTGCATTCTTCTAGTTTCCTTTTTTTTCTGTTTTTCTTTTTCCACTTTTCTTTATATTTTCTTCTTTTTTCTCTTTCAACTTTTTTATTATCGATTTTTCATTTTTCCATTTCTTTCTTTTTTTCTTTCTTTCTTTCTTCACTTTTTTCCTTACCGTCTTCTTTTTACATATTTTTTTCTCTTTCATCTTTCTTTCTTTTCTTACTTTCTTCTTCGCCCTTCTCAGCCCTTTTTCTTTACCGTCTCCTTTCTTTATATTTTCTTTTCCTCTTTCTTCTTTTTTCTTCCGTATTTCTTTTCTTAAGCAGTGAACTCTCTTGCCAGAGGAGATATTTTAGATATAACTTGAGCCTTATTTAGCCCTCTTCACGCTCAACTGTGACTGGAGTTACTCGACTTCGTGCTCATGAAAAAATGTTGGATATAAACCTCGGATTCGCTTTCATATCATTGACCTATCAGGCGCATCAAGATAATCCTTGGGAACACACTCAAACTTATTATTAAATGTTAATATGGCCTCCCAAATCGACCAAGTTTGTTACCACGTTGTGAAAATCTTTAAAGAAAAAAACAAAACAACTAACCTAAATGACTTTTTGCATGTGATTCCTATTCTTTTAGTTATTCTGAAAATAGAGTATGTTGGTGTTGGAACATTTTCGAAATATGATATCCATGGAAGATTGACTCAATTTTAACTTTGGATTTTGGGGTAGATGAGCTAAATTTAGAATCAAGCAAGGAGTTTGGGTGTCAGGATTTCTATAGGAGGCTGCGTTACGATGAAACCTTCATCGAGATAGTGAACAAGATTAGTCACAAATATAGCACAGGAGAAATTATTTTTTCGCTACTGGAGGAAGAATTAAAATTGGTGAAATGTAATTTATTTAATGAAAGAAAGACGAAACACTCAACGAAATAGAAACAGTTGGGGGGAAAAAGAAAGAAAGAAAAAGAAAAGTGATGGCAGGAAAATAGAAGAGAGATAGAATGAGAAAGAGAGAGAATAATTAGAAGATAGAAAATAGGAAAAAAGTGAGGGTAAGAGGCAAAGAAATAAAACAACAAAAGAAAACAAGAAGAGGAAAAACAGAGAGAAAAAAAGAACGGCGAAAAAAACAGAACGAAATGAAAGAAAAAGAGTAAATGCCTTCATTTAATAAGTTTGCCACAAGGCCAAAATAATGAGATCTTTAATCGAACTGTTAACTAGCTTGCTAAACATGGCACTACGGTAAGTATTTGCTTCGTGCAATGCCACAAATATAAAGTACCAGTATTTATTGAACACCCTACTTTTTTGCACAGTGTTGCTTTAGGACTTGAGTGATCATTGCTCTTCACAACTTCCCTTCCTTTTTAGCTGTAAGCAAAGTTTTGTCCCTTGACTAACTCACCTACTCCCTGTTCTGCTGTTCATTTACACAATTTCGTTAGGTCTGGTATGTTACTCTTTGTTTACCTCTTTACCTCTTTGCTCTGTGAGTGTCAAATTCTCTAAGTCCCGTTTCCTCGCAAGGTGTCTCAGAAATTTCAATTCTCTTTCTCTCTTTCTCACACAAACACACACACACATTCCTTTTTGTTTCGTTTCTATTTTCCTTAAAACGTCCATGTTTCGTCTGTGTAGAACCACGTCCCCGTTGCCTCTTCATCGATGAAGAAGTGGCCCATCATTGACTGCCACATCTGAGGATTGATATTAATTACATAGTAGTTCAGCACCCTGTTCTTTCGTTCTGATGTTTCTTTAATACTTTGCTTTGTAAGGCATCTTTCATTATTCCAATGCGATTTCAGATTTATGGGACACATTTTCCGTCGTCTGTTAATGGTATTTGGCGTCTCCAATTTTATAGGCTCTCCCTCTTGCTAACAACCATACATCCTACCTTCTAAATATCGATTATTAGTCCTTTCTTCTCGCTTTCCTTTGGGCTTACGGTCATATCACGTTGAAACACCGATTACCGTACGATCACCAAAGTTAAGCAACGTCGAGCCTGATCTGTACCTAGATGGGTGACGGCTTGGAAATACCAGGTGCTGTAAGCTTGGATGTGCGAGTGGTCTAATATGTAAAGTTTTAGAATTTTTTAATCGAAAAGCCGAGTTCGAATTCTAGTCGGGTTCGTTATATATAAATAAACCTTGGGTACGGTATGAATTCACCTGTTCTCCCCCCCCAGCTATAGGTTAATTAATAACATTTGTATCACTACATCGTTATTATCTGCAAAAAAAATCTAAAATAATTTTCTGGCTTTAAATAACCTGCAAAGGGTCGATAAGCCGATGAAAACGAATCGTTTTCCTTTAGTATCTTTTCTAGGAACACCTACAGCTTCCTGTCACTTATGAACACAGTGCCATCTGCGTATCTTATGTTGTTAAGATTGTGTCCGCCAATTTCCTAGCAGAATTCCTATTTTACGTAAGCTCGCCTCACTGTAAATGTTCAGTAAATATTGAACTCAGAAGACATTCGTGATGGACAAGCTTGCCAACGATTAACGTACTGAGAAGCTTCCATAGTTTAATTACGGCTTGATTTGACGAATGGGGATTTGGGTGGGTCTTCCACGTAATAGCTTAATACGATATCCAGACATGAGGGACAGAGATCAACATCCACTGTGGGTGTTGTCTATCTGTAAATCAATGAATTGGCGTCAAAACTAATAAAGATATACGTTTGGTCGTGAAGAAGAAGAAAATGAGAATGTTTTCTTTTTTATGTCGATAGACCTTATCAATGATGCCACGGAAACCAGTAGGCAAACATGATTCAAATTTATTCATAGTTTGGCTTCTTTTGTTTTGTTTTACGGCTTATCAACCTCAATGGATTATTTAATACCAACAAGACTGTTATTCTTGGTAATTTTATTTTTTTTATTATATTGCTGGTAATCATTTTTTCCAGTGTATTGCTAGTATTAAAACCTATTTTTACACTTTCATTTGGTTTAGTTTATTTTGTTTTATGGTATATAAGCCTCAATGGGTTATTTAATTCCGACAAAATGGACCGTACAGTTTGTTTGCGTAAAATGGCATGAAAAAATAGACCGTATCATTTGTTTTCATAAAGTGACATAAATAATGGCCGCAAACAATGGACCTGTTATATACCGTATGGGTATGTCCCAATCCTCATAAATACGTTGGACACTATTGTAAGTGGGGTAATTTATTGTCTACGCTGGTAGCGTGAGCTGTCAGCGTGGGAAGCTCTTGTCGCGTCCAACTCTCTGTCGGAAGGCAGAGAGGAACCTGGAAGAGTCTATGCTGAAAGGGCAGAGTCTCATCCGGGGAGGTAGGCAGATACTCGAGCCCGCGTTTGTGGGGTGTACGGGCAATTTTTGCCCGGACCCACGGGCTCGGATTTCCCCACATTAAATATGGCCTAGATGACAACAGGACGGTATCGTTGTTTTACATAAAATGACATTTAAAAATAAATAGCCACATAGTTTCTTTATATAAAATGACGTTCAAAAGAAATCGGTTATTACCGTTTGTTTGCTTAAAGGGACATAAAAAATGGCCACAAACAATGGACGGTACAGTTTGTTTAGATGAAATGATATTTAAACAAATAGACACAACCAATAGAACGTATAGTTTGTTTCCATAAAGTGACATTCAAAAAAAAAAAAAATGGCCACAATCAATGGACCATAAACTTTGTTTACATCAAGTAACATTTAAAAAATGGCTATAAAAATGGACCGTATCGTTCGTTTACACGAAGTGACATTCAAAAGAAAATTGGCCACAACCAATGGAACGTATAGTTTGTTTGCATAAAGTGACATTCAAAAAAAAGTACGGGGTGACCAGTGACGATCGAATCTGCTACTCAGTGGAAGTGCCCAGGTTCCGACTTATATATATATATATATATATATAATGCACACCTAGCGGCGATAGTCTGTTTCATACTAGAACACAATTATCAGATGGCCTCGGAATTGTGTTCAAGCATGAAACAGACAGTCGCAGCATACGTACTATCCCAGATATTGAGCCCTTTTTACCCATAAATATAACAAACCTTAAATCTTATATATATATATATATATATATATATATATATATATATATTGTGAGAGTGTGTGTGTAATTATTTTCAGATAGTGTATTTAAAAAAAAGAACAAAATGAATATAAAAGACTAGAGGTAACAATACTTTTCCCTCATGTCTTTTTATTCATATATATATATATATATATATATATATATATATATATATGTGTGTGTGTGTGTGCGAATAAAAAGACATGAGGCAAAACTATCGTATGCGTATATATATATGTGTGTGGGGGGAATAAAAAGACATGTGTGTGTGTGTGAATAAAAAGACATAAGTGAAAACTATTGTATCTATCTATCTATCTATCTATCTATCTCTCTCTCTCTCTCTCTATATATATATATATATATATATATATATATATATATATATGTGTGTGTGTGTGTAAATTTTAGATTTGTCAGAAAGAAGCCAAAATTATCAGGGACCCACTGAGGATCGAACACACTAACGCAGCAATGGTCTGTTTACCTTGTTAACCTTTAGTCTGCAGAGGCACGGCATCATGTTTATTACGCTAACATCCTGCTGTTAGAAAAATAAAAAAGGTCTATTTTTTGGCAGTGAGAATCGAATTCATTTTCTATATTTACTAGCATATAACGTACAGTAATGATTTTTGATTTGATCGATACGTCAAGCAGTGATCTTGTTTCCAACTCTGAGACGGGAAATTTTCCATGCTGCTTGAATATCATTTTTTTTTTCTCAAAAAGTGCTCCTGAACCGGTTCCTGTTCCCTCTAATCTCTACAATAGATACCTTGCTCTTTCTTGCTTTCCAGATTGTTGGAAGCCCTCTTTGGTATTTCCTGTTTTTAAAAACTTTAGTGAACCGTCTGATTCTTGGAACTATCGACCTATTAGTCTTCTATCTCTTTTTGACAAAGTACTCGAAACTCTAATCAACTCCGAATTGGTTAAGCTTTCCACTTCACCGGTTCAAACAGACAAAGGACATGGTTTTTGTTTTCAGACAAAGAATGGCTTTTGCTTCTCTGTGTTAATTGTCGAAATGTTAACGGTTCTTATTGAAATAGTCTGTCAAGATTTATATAAGAATAATGTAGCCCAGGTGTTTCTTTAGATATCTCGAAAGCGTTTGAATTGCTGGTCTTCCTACAAGTTGAAGGATTATGGTGTTTCTGGAAGATTTATTTTGCTTGATTCAATATTTGAAATCAAATCGCGAAATAAAACTTACCTTGAAATAATTGCTTCTTGCTTTCCTGTAAATTAAAATCTTAAAAATGTAATGACAACATGAGTCACTAACTTTTTCCTTTTCACTGAAATAGACGTTAAACACTTTCTTTCTTTCTTTCTTTCTTTCTTTCTTTCTTTCTTTCTTTCTTTCTAAACAAATCTCCGGCGTCTGAAAAATGACGCTTTTATCGTGGTCGCCATTACTTCTCGGCCTTTTGGTTGATATCCAAATTTAGTATCTGTTCTTATCAGAATAATTTGATTCTCTCCCCACCTCTCTCTCCCCACTTTTAAATCCCCTTCTTTCTTACCAAATCTCCGGCGTTTGAAAAATGATGCTTTTATCGTGGTCGCCATTACGTCGGCTGAGATCAAAATTTAGTATCTGTTCTTATCCGATTAATCTGGTTATCTCTTTCTTTCTCTCCACTTCTATCTACCCTTCTTTCTTTCATTTTCTCACTGAAACCAGTCTTTTCCCCTCTTTCCACGTTCGATCATTATTTACGAAAGTATTGACAGGAGACAGCGGTCGTGCTAACTAACGAAGAGAGCGACACGTACCATTAAGATAGGATGATAATTATAATGCATGTGCCTGTTATGCTCTTATCAGATTGGATGTCTCGATGGGTATATCGGGGTTCATATATTTGTACCCTGGTTGTCGTGTGTCTCTCTTACTCAGTAACAAACGTATAAACAAAGCAAAGGATGCATAACATGTCTAAAATTTCGAAGGTCAAGAAGATTAAACCCGGATCCACGACTGAAAATCAGTCTGTACTTGTTAATTAAACAATGAAGGTCATGTTCGTAAAACAACAGAAACTATTATATCTGAATGGAGATTAAAAGATTTTGATATCCGAAAATTAAATTATTTATTTTATCTGGGACGCCTTAGGCTTTTTAAACTGAGTATTCAACACTGACTTACCCTTTAAAATCCGTTTTAAAACGTAAAGGTAAAGCCATTTCATTTACTGTCACTAGGGTGGGGGAAAAGTCACTGTACGATTTAGTGCTTTTATCACAGCCTGATACCGTGGCCGAGTGGTGAGAACGTTCGCACATGAACATGAGACCCGGGTTCGAATCTCACTATGGTCGATTTTTCAGGAGACATCCTGATGTTATTGGAGAGATCGATCCCAGCGTGCGGCACCTTTACGTGTATATATGGTGTCATGCCACGGGTTTACCCAAGCCTTGTGAGTGAAAATGGGTAGACGGAACCCATCGATAGCTGTGCTAGCACGAAGTCACAAGTCATCGTGCTTGAGTGTGTTGGCTTTGTTCAAACTATGCTGAGCAGACCTTAGAGTTTTGGGAAAGAGCGTGTTGTCTAGCGTGATCAACATTTTGAACAAAACCAGCACGCCTACAGGTGGGCTCTGTGGGTGTTGAGAAAACACAACTACGCCTAGTAGACAGGTATACTCGAATACGTGTGGCCAATTATACATATGCATATGCATGCATCACAGTATAATACTCATGACAGGTTTTATTCTGGAGTTATCGGTCGATCAATTTGCCAAAAAGAGACTGTGTGTATTAGTAGTCATTGCTGCTTGGTAAACATCCCGAATCTATGATATTCGTGATATACAAGGAAAAGTCAAATACTATCCACACTCTAGTCTTGAACAGGAAAAGGGTAGAACATAAAAGCAGCAGCGGCAGCAGAGAACAGGCAATATAATCATTAGGTTTAAAGTTTCATTTTTTCCAGTAAGGTTCAAT